AACAGTAAAAGAGGTTGACATGCTATCAAGCCATTATGAGTAACAAAAATCTTTTACAAGAATAAACTATCGGTGCTTTGGTAAAATCCATAATGTGTACACTAGAAATTAGAATTCTATCTCGAGTATCTGGTATTGGAAACTTATTGTTCGCTCATTTTATCTCTCCCTGTCTTTATTCATTAAAAACTACTTTAGGATAAGATCTAGTTGTATTACATTCGATTAAGCTAATAGAAATGACAATAAAGATGGGATAATATCAGGAATTACTCTACGTGATAACTGAAAAAGAAAAGCAGCCAATCAGAAATGATTGTTCTTCCTCTATTGTTCTGAAGAACAGAATTAGGATCGTTTCTGTGAAAACAGTGGTTTGGTAACATACGATTGATGTCATTTGAAAGATGTTTCGTCTGTTGTTAGAGTCAGCTACTATCTACAGTTCCTCATCAGGTTGTCCTTAAGATGATTTGATTTATTAGTATTAAAGAAATCCAAAAAATAGAAAAACTAGAGCATATGAAAACTGCCTTTTGCACTTCAAGATAAATAATATTTTTATGTTTTCACATTTCAAAATCTATTACTTGTAGTTTGAACAAGAAAAAGTGTCCAGCAGAAGATACACCTTGCTTCTAATGGTCTAAACCCTTGTCAGTTGTGATTCATGAGCAAAGTTGTAAATATTTCACCTCCACCTTTCGTTCCTAATTTACAGAAAGTTTCAACTTATTCTTCATGTTTATCCTGGGCTTGTACAACCGCACAAATGTACTTTTTTAAGAATGTGTTTAAAACCGTTGTTCAAAAAAAACATTCGTAAAACTTTATAAAAATTAGTTGGTTTAAACGGAGATTTCCATATCTCTAATGAGTCATCAAATAATAGGATACAATTAAATATTCTAATAATCGATATGAAGTTAGATTGGGTTAAACATTCCAGTGGTCCACGTGAGGTTCAGATTCACTAAACACTCTAGTAATCTATGTAATCTCCGGTAATTCACGCGAGGTTAAAGTCCAGTGAAATACTGGTAGTTCGTATGAGGTAAAGATCCAACGAGGGCCAGATGTGGCCTATTGGTTAGCGTGCTAGATTGTGAACTCGAGGGTCAATGGTTCACGCCCCATTGCCAAAAAAATCTCACTCCTCACTTTCTGTTGACTAGCTGTCTTCTTTTAAGTCTTTCATAGTTACAACTAACGCAGATAACTCTTTGGGTAAACACTCGAAACAAAGGAACAAGATCCGGTGCAACACATTGAATATCCATATGAGAACACTAGTAAGCCACGTGAGGTTAGGATTAGATTATACACTAGTAAGCCACGTGAGGTTAGGATTAGATTATACACTAGTAAGCCACGTGAGGTTAGGATTAGATTATACACTAGTAAGCCACGTTAGGTTAGGATCAGATTATACACTAGTAAGCCACGTGAGGTTAGGATTAGATTATACACTAGTAAGTCACGTTAGGTTGGGATTAGATTATACACTAGTAAGCCACGTGAAGTAAAGAGCCGGTTGAATACACTTGACAGTTCATAGAAACTAAGATTCTATTAAATATATATGTAATTTGTGAGAGGTTATAAGTTTCTGATCTTTGAACTCGGAAAGCATTGTTTTAACGAATCTATTAAAATTTCACGAAATTTAGTTATTCGCTAATAAGAGCATCATTCGCTAAGTTAGACGTTTCTTAAACAGACTGTTCAGAAAAAAGAAAGGTATCAGCGAAACTTGCAGGCTGTGGTACTGCGTTACAGGAGATGCGGCCAGGCTGTGGTACCGCGTTACAGGAGATGCGACCAGGTTGTGGTACCGCGTTACAGGAGATGCGACATTAGTTTCATGGGTAACTTATAAAGCTACAGTGTTTGTCAAACAAGAAACCTAATCTCATATCACATAGCACTAAACAATAACAAGAAACCTAACCATATATCACATGACACTAAACAATAACAAGAAACCTAACCTTATATCACATGACACTAAACAATAACAAGAAACCTGACCTCATACCCCATGGCACTAAACAATAACAAGAAACCTAACCTTATATCACATGGCACTAAACAATAACAAGAAACCTAACCTCATATCACATGGCACTAAACAATAACAAGAAACTTAACCTCACATCATATGACACTGAATAAGAACAAGAAACATAACCTCATATCACATGGCACTAAACAATAACAAGAAACGTAACCTTATATCACATGGCACTAAACAATAACAAGAAACCTAACCTCATATCACATGGCACTGAACAATAACAAGAAATCTAGTTATAAAGTATAGGTGATGAACTTTAATTATAAAGTTTAAGTGATCAGCTTGTAACGGTCTAAAACAAAACGCCATAGACTACTGTGCAGTTTGAGACCATAGCCTACTATACAGTTTGAGACTATAAACTACTATACAGTTTGAGACCATAGCCTACTATATAGTTTGAGACCATAGCCTACTATATAGTTTGAGACCATAGCCTACTATACAGTTTGAGGCCAAAGCCTACTATACAGTTTGAGGCCATAGCCTACTATATAGTTTGAACTGGATGTAAGACCACAGCTTACTATATGATTGAGCTAGATTTGAGAACATAGCCTACTATATAGTTTGAGACCATA